TGAAAATTGACATTTAGAGACAGAAATATGGGATTGGGGCCTTCCTTACAGTAATCCTGAGTTGTGTACATTTCAGCCTGGACCTATCTGTTTGTCTTAGATTTAATCATGTGTCTCAATTGAATAATGCGAGGCTTAGAGAAACAAGTCTTACTCTATGACTATTGATTGTATGTCTCACACATGGGTTGACCCCATACTATAGAGTGCTCAGGGGAAAGACTGATACTCTGTGCACTAAACAGGCCCATCCAGTGGTTGCCCATCTGAGAAAGAGCAGTCACCACCTGGTGTGCTCAGATTTATAATTTTAAAAGCAGATAGCTCACTAGGAACCTATGGAATGCCTTGGTTGCTGCTGCTGCTGCTGTTGCGTATGTGTCTGCCATGAAAAAGATCCTGATTCTCAGAGTTACAGAAAAAGAACACCTGTGCCAACTCAAAGCACAGCTATGGGCTTAATTCAAACCTGACTTAAGCTTGGAGTCCCTAAATCCAATAAAGTGACAATTGCCCTCAGGGAGACCCCCTAACACTGAAAATACTGATTTGAAACTCTCTGGAGGAAGAAACTTAAAAATATGGACAAAGTAGAGAGAACCATCCTTCCCCCTGAAGTGTATTCGGTAACTACCTCCTCCCTACAAAAAGACCCGTGGATACAAGGAAAAGAAACAAAATCTGAAACAAAGATCCACAATTGTACTCAATTGGAAATACAAAATTTACTAAAATAATTTATTCAACAGAAAGATAAAGGGGCATTGATCGGCTTTCACATCTCTACAACATAGATTTTAAATTAACTTTAACACCTCCCGATATGCAGCACTTAAAAAATCTTCATGGTCTTAATAGAGACTGGGGCTCAAATTGCAATTATACCTGGAGATTCCACTGAATATACGTAAGGTACATCCCGTACTTTAGGGAAGTTACCAAACATAAAATAGAGGACACACATGTATATCTCACCTTAAATGCTGAACTATCGCCTTGCCTAAATTCCCCTTGGCCATAGTGACCAATACCCCGAAATATTCCATATAAGCACTCTGAACCAATTGGTAATAAATTAAAATTAATTATTTGGCACTTAAAATCAACTTGATAAAACAGAATCCCAGGGACCTTCCCTCTTAATTATAATAGTTAATACAGCCCAATATACATTAAAACAAGATCTACAGTTATTAAGGACCATCACATTAAACCTACTGAAGGAAACAACCATTGTTCCTACTGTTTTCCCCTTTAATAGTTCAATTTGCTCACTGTTAAAACCTGATAAAAAGGAATAGCATCAAAAAGTGAAAATTACCACACTCTAAAAGCCATGGTACTCTTGATTAAGACCCCCATACTCAGTACTACTGAAATTGCTGGCTCTAATCAATAACTGGAAAATATTTTGCTATTATAGATTTGTCTAATTTGTTCTATTCAATGTTTATTTCAATAGCTTCCCAGTCATAGTTTGCTTTCAGTTCTGAAGAGACACAAGGCACATGGGGGATCTCAATAGCCCTGTTCACACACAAACTTTGCGGGCAAGACATTAACTATAAACACTTTTCTCCAGGAATGCAGGCATGCCACTACTTTCATGGCACCCTCCTCTGAGTAGATTCATTTGAGCCATTCATTCAGGAAACACAAATACAAAGGAGCTCAGAAAAAAATGGAGGCAGGACGATGGATCATTACTTCACACATAGTATAAGGCAGCACATTCTCAGTTAAATTTCTGAGAATTATTAGCTCAGTCAAGGGCTGTTCATGGCTGACACTATCGAGTAGCTGTCTGCTACTGACATTCCCAGCACCACAATATTGAAAGAAGCCCAGTGTTTTCTTGGGCCCTGGAAGCAACATATTCCTTATTTGTAAAAATTTTACATAAGCCTCTCTATGCTCTTATTCACAAATTGGCCCACTTTTAGTGAGCACCCCCCTCCAGCAAAAGTATCTATACCCTGTCCAAATTACAATAAAAAAGACACTCCAGTAATACCCTCAGAGTCTCCTTTGCTACTGAGGCTTAACAACCCCTTCTCGTGACTCCTAGAATCTCTGGCCACATTTTAAACAGCTTTTTTTCTTTTTTAAATTATGATTTACTGTACATGCCACTGCAGTTCTTTTTATCCTGTTTTAAAATAAATTTACTTTTTAGAGCAGTCTTAGGTTCAGAGTAAAATTAAGCAGAAAGTACAGAGAATTTCCATATACTCACTGCTTCCATGCAAGCAAACCTCCCCTACTATCAACATCCCGCACTTCAGTGGTAACTTTATTACAACTGATAAATCCACATTGACACACACAGTTCTTAATAAACATAAGCAACAATAATTTTCTAATAAATGTATTATT